CTTGTTGCTGCCTACCTCTGGACTTGATGACCTATCATCAGGTCATCTTCTCGAGCCTATCATCTTCTCGGGCCAATCTGGGTAAGGGAAAAACCTAGATCTGGGTTTGGGAAAAACCCAGATCTGGGTTTGAGAGAAGAAGAAGAAGGCTGAAAATAATAGTAGCGAAAGGTTTGGTGTGAATGATGACGAGATTGAACAAGGCACTATCACCTAGAGGAACAAAGAAGTGATCGAGCGTCCACTCCACACTCACACCTGGGCTGTGCTCGCCATCATTGACGGAGATGATCATCACTCGCTTCTCCGCCGTTTGGGAAAATCGAAAGCCTGGGTTTGCAGAGGTATTGAGCGTCCACTCCAACGCGTAGGCGCTGTGCTCGCTGTCATCGACGGCGACGATCATCACTTTCTTGGTGGTTTGAGAAAACCCAGAGCTTGGGTTTGCAAAGGTAAGAGAAAAGGAAAGATAAAGGAGAGAGAAAATGAAAGAGGAAGAAAAAAATCTGACGTGGATGAAAAAAAAAAAGAATTATTACTTTTAAATTAAATAAAAATGCCAACTCAAAAAAAAATGGCCAACTATACTTTTTTTTTTCCATGTCATTGATTAAGAAAAAAAAAATTGATTTGCTGGTATTTTAACGTGCCATCTGTCATTTAACTGACGGAAGGACCATTTTGGTACCAAAAATAAAAGTTTAAGGATAATTTTGGTACTTTTTAAAGGTGAGGGACAATTTTGGTACCAAAGTGTAAAGTTAAGGGACCAAAATGGTACTTAAACCTACGAAATTTGATAATTAAATTTTGTAGAATCCAAAAGTAAAGGGTCGGGACTGTAATTTTACCGTTAACAGAATTTACAGAGAATGACAAAAATCCGACATGGACTCTTGAGGACGGATGCAGGAAAAGTGTCGGCACCTTGTTGAGAGTGTTGACACCTTGCAGCTCGTGCTGCACATCTTTCAGCTCATGCTCGGCCTCTGCACCTCGTGTTCAAGTTCTGCACTTCGTGCTTGGCCTCTACAGCTCGTGGCTGACGTCGGTAGTAAGTGTTTGAGCTCTGCAGCTCGTGCTCTACACTTCGTGCTCGACCTCGGCAGCAAGTGTGAGCTTTGTAGCTCGTGGTTGACTTCGGAAGCTTGTGTTTGAGCTTTGGATTTCGTGCTCGACCTCTGAAGCTCGTGGCTGACCTCGACAGTATGTGTTTGAGCTTTACAACTCGTGCTCTAGTTCTGCACTTTGTGCTCGACCTCGGCAGCAAGTGTTTGAGCTCTACAGCTCGTGGTTGACCTCGGCAGCTCATGTTCGGCAGCAAGTGTGAGCTTTGCAACGTGTTTGAGTTCTGCACTTCGTGCTGGACCTCTGCAGCAAGTGTTTGAGCTCTGCAACTTGTGCTCAAGTTCTACACTTCATGGTTGACTTCGGCAACTTGTGTTTGAGCTTGTCAGCGCGTAGCTCATGCTCCAACAGGGACTTTGTAGCTCGTTATTGTCGAACTCCCAGTGGGCTACTTGGGGTAGCGTGTAGATGCTCTTTTCCTTCCACGGATGGGGAACAAGAGGCTATTGTAGATGTGCATGGTGTGTTCACGGGTAAATTCTTCGCGCCTCCAAATGGTTCGGTGATGCGACGTGGGCGGTTGAATGCCTCTGCTCTCAACTAAGCATGAGATGAGACTGTTGGCTTCTCAGAGCAGCATGTTTTTTCTCGGTAGTGGTTTAATTGTCATCCTGAAGGGTGGTGTCCAATCCCTCCAGAGCTTCCATCTTTAACACTACCATCAGCTTTTTCTGTCATTGGAACCATAGATTTTTGCTCCCTAGCAGCTGATTGGAGGGATTTAATTTGCTACTAGCAAGCTGCCTAGTCAGGGACTTATCCCTTGGATTCTGCAAGAACAAATTCAAAAGAGAGGAAGATTCCAATTTGCTTTACAGCAAAAGAAAATAAAATATCGGAAACAAAGTAAAATAATGAAAGGTTAAGATTTATCTCCTCAATCATCGCAAAGTGGTGGTCAAGCTCAAATGGTTTATTGCCCAAGGAAGATGCTTGTTGCAAGCTCGGGCTGACCATCATCATATTTTGTTGATTGCTCGCGTCTTCCTCAACGAGCTTCTTTACAAATTTGTTTAGTATGTGCCACCGAGCTGAGAGATTGCTTTGCTGCTGTCGAGCTGGGTTACTTGGTTACTGCTGAGTTGGACTGTCTTGCTTCTGCTGAGCTTTGCCGCTGCCAAGCTGGACTACTTGGTTGCTACCGAGCTAGGCTGCTCTACTGTTGCCAAGGAGGAGCACTGCTTTGAACTTTGTCGCTGCCGAGCTAGACTGCTTTGATGCTGCCAAGCTGGGCTGCTCTACTGTTGCCGAGCTGAACTGCCTCGCTTCTGCCGAGCTGGAGCATTATTTTGAGCTTTGCTGCTAAGCTGGGTTGTTGTGCTACTGCCGAGCTGGGATGCTCTGCTGCTGCCATCAAGCTCGAACTCATCTTCTCATTGAGGGCTTTGCTGACACCTGTTTATCTTCTTGTGAAAGCTTCTCTTCTTTACAAGCGAATAAACCCATTTTGTAAATTTATCAGATCTAGTTTGTGAAAACTTCTCTTTTTCACAAGTGAACAAACTCATTCTGTAAATTCATCAGATCTACTTCTGCAACTCAAAAGAATAGGCAAATTCATCAGATCTACTTCTGCAACTTAAAAGAATAGGCCATGGGCCTTTCACTCATCTTCTCTTCCCTCTAATCAACCAGATCAACATAGAAATAAAGCTTTTTATTCGATTCCCATAGACGGCGCCAATGTAATTCCACCAAACCAGAAGTCCTTCTTCAGTCCACATCTTCACTTCGGATGTACCTGCAAAGCCCCGAGGTGAGTCCTCGGGGTAGAATCTCCAATGCTTAAGTCAGCAATAATCGGGGCTACCTTTAGAGTGGAGATAAAAGGAGTTTAGGGTTGGTTTCAATTACCTTTTTGGCGTGGCCCCTAGGGGGTATTTATAGGCTCCAATGAGGAACCCACATGGCATACTAAGCAAGATAATCGGAGCCTGACGTATCTCTCCATATGTTTATTTTGGGACCGAAAAATTGAGAGATATTCAGGTGCGAGAATGCCCATCGTAACTACTATGCAGCTTGTCATAAGGAATCAGGTGCGGGCATGCTTATTGTTGCTGTCATGCAGCTGTTTGAGCAGGAAATGTTGGGTTTATCCTTCATTTCGATTATAAAGGAATTACTGCCGTATGTCCGAGGTTGAGCACCTCGAACCTATCCTTATATTGTCTGACTAGTTTAAGATATGTATCACTTTAATATTTATGTACAAATTCCTTCCCCCGCATTCTCGCCAATTAAAGTTGGAAGCAAATGAGGGAAAACCAAAAACAGGCTGAGAAGAAGGAAAATTAAAATGGAATATATTTTATAATTTAAATTATATTAAATTATAAAATATAAATTATTAGATGTGGGAGGGCCTTTATTATTAGAAGACCCACCCCTAATTGAATTATTCATATAGTGCAATATAATACAATCTATACAGTAGTATATTTTTTAAATAAAAAAAAAAAATCAGAGAAGAAAGAGTGGAGACGGAATTGTTCCTTTTCACATTTAGGTGGTATTCTAGCTTAGGCCATGCCCATGCATAATATAAGTGTCTATGGTTCAGTTTCTAGATAGTTCATCTCTATTGTAAAAATTAAAATTGTGTTAAAAGTGGCTTTTTTTTTTATAAGGTCTTCTACCTTTTTTCTTTTTTTTTAGTATTTAGATTCAAAGTATTTCTATATTAGTTTTCATGTATTTTGAAACTAGTCTTTCTTTGGATGATTTTAAGAAGACACCTCATATTAGCATGGTACATTAAAAAAATTAATTTCTTTAGATGCTAATTTTAAATTTTGAATTCTAAAACTGACTTATAACAATACCCATTTATAGATGCAAAGTAACCATTCAGAACTATTCATTAACTAAATCAAACAATTCACATTTCATCCAATAAAAATACATTTTTCCAGTTATAAAATAATTATGGTTTTTTAAATTTGAATTTATTTTAAATTAATTGCCTTTTATTTTTAAAGTAGATAAATAATTTATTACTATTTTAAGCTTATTATTATCCTTTTATTTTAATTATTTATCTCATCCAAAAAATATCTTTATTTATTTATTTTTATTTTTTACAAATAATATAAGTAAATATGTAAATTATCCCTATATAAGAGGTTGCATATATGTTATCAAAAATTACTATTTCTAAGTAAATTACTTCCATTTATTTTTAATAGTTTTCGTTTAATTTTTTAACTTTTTAGATTTAAATTTTAGATAAAAATTTAACAACTTATATGAATAACAA